TTGTAACTAAACATGATATAAGAGATAAATAATAATAATAACAAAGGTGGGGATATATATGCAAGATAAGGGGGAGGCCAAGAGAGATTAAGGGCAAAGTGCCCCCCTCATTAGGGAGGCAATGACTTGTACAGCTGCTGAAACCATAGTCCTGTCTCCCACCCCATTTGCCTCTCAACAAAATCTCACCCTTCTGGACAAGGTAAACAGAGCAAGATTCAAGCAATTCCAATCAGTATAAAATTATTCCTATCCCTTATTCCTGGCCGCCCCCTCAAGATTTGGAGAAGATGCGCAGCATGTCGAGCTCCACTGCCACCAAAGGCATTGCTGCCATTGTTGGTGTCGGGCCTAAGCTTGGACGATCCATTGCCCAGAAGTTCGCCCATGAAGGCTATACCGTTGCCATCCTCGCCCGCGACTTAGGTATCCTTCATATTATGTTCTCTGCAATAGCTAAGTACACTTCTTGGCTAATTGTAATTACACCAAATCAGAAGTCCTTCTTCAGTCCGCGTCTGCACTCCGGGATGACCTGTAAAGCCCCGAGGTGAAACTCGAGGTAGACACTCCGATACTTAAGTCAGCAATAATCGGAGCTACTTTTAGAGCGGAGATAAAAAGAGCTTAGGGTTGGTTTCAATTATTTTTTGACGTGGCCCGGGGGTATTTATAGGATCCAATGAGGAACCCACATGGCATGCCAAGCAAGATAATCGGAGCTTGACGTGTCTATCCAGACAATTATCCTGGGACCGGGAATTTGAGAGGTATTCAGATGCATGGATGTCCACCATACCTACTGTGCCGCTCATCATAAGAAATCAGGTGCGGGCATGCTTATTGTCATTGTCATGCAGCTATTTGAGCGAGAAGCTTTGGATTTATCCCTCACTTCGGTCATAAAGAAATTACTGTAGCAGTTTGAGGCTTGGCACCTCGGACCTGTCCTTACACTAATATAATCTGAGGGTTTGAAACTGTTATAGGAGGCTATCAAGATTTGCAGATGAGATAGCGAGGGAGGAGAAGGCGCATGTGTTTGCCATCAGAATAGATTGCTCTGACTCTAGAAGCGTGAGGGAGGCATTCGAGGGAGTTCTCTCCCTGGGATTTGTAGAAGTGCTAGTGTACAATGCGTACCAACCAGTTTCTTGGCGCCCCACCAACTTCACTGACATTCGGGTCGATTCCTTCGAGAAATCCCTTTCCGTATCCTCCGTCGCCGCCTTCCTATGCGCTCAACAGGTAATAGAACAGAAACACCAGAATGGAAAACCCATATGAACATGTTTCTTAGTTTCGTTCCCAAATTGGGAATTTTACTTTTGTTGTGATGGAAATGAAAAGGTACTTC